CACCTACAACTGACATATCACATAGTTGCACAATTAACTTTCCGAACTTCGAGGGCCAGTATTTCAGAGGGTTAGCTACATTGATTCCTTTCGATCTTGCTACGGCACGAAAAGTGCAAGAGCGCATAATCGCACCGGCCCGCCTGGTGCGTTCTAGCCTGGGTTTTACTTAAATACACCTAAAGGGGTGCAGGGAAAAAGCTAGAAATACTGAGCTGCATTTTAAAGATACTGGTGATTTTGCGTTAAGGCGGCGCCAGCAGGAAGTGGTTGCATTCCTCCACGTGCCGAGCAACGCTGCTACCTGACATGGCGACGATCGCTACGATCCGAACGATGGGGGGATGAGAAGGCACCGAAGCTGATACTCATCACAAATTTCGTTGAACAAGAGATCAGCGACACTCAGACTGTGACGACCAAACTATTGGGTATAATATGTGCATTTTTGTTGGGCTGGCACAAAACGTGGGCCTTTAACGAATCGAGCAAGTCGTCAGAGAATCGTCAAGATGTCGAGAAGCGCACAATGTTGTGTGAAGATGCACAATGTCTCAGTGTCATCTAGGAAAAATCGAAGGAAGCAATCAGCAGGTGCCGCAACACCTACCGTAGTTTATCAAAGGGCGGCTAGCAATAGCTTTTTTCTTCTGTAAAAACCACAACGAGAAAAATTTCTAATCCTAGTTCAAAAAGTTTGTAAAATTTTGCCTGCATTGCAGAAACAATTAAAACTTAAAAAGCACGACTGAAGAAAATCAATTGAAATACAAGTAATAAATTTTCTGCGGTGTGTCCTGAAAATCCAAGTATTTGATCCAGAAATATGCAATCACAAAATAAAACTCAAGTACAATTCACAGAAATAAAGCATGTAATAACCTTTCCTTCGTATCACCTTGGGTATTATTACCACAAAAACTTCGCTCGAGAACGACTTAATTTTACTGAGAATTTCAAAAAACTTAGTCGAAAGCGTGCTGGCTGCCGGTACGAGGAGGCGTTTTTTTGCACAGTTCCCCGCTGGTTTTTTTTGCCAGTGGCACGCTCTTCCCGGCAGATGCTTCTAGCTAAAAAAATTGTGAGTGGCCACCATGGCCGTTAGAAATTATTACAATGACTCCTAATCCATGCCCAAAAAATTCAGCACTCTGAATGCTTCGGTTGCGGAGTAACGCCAAATTCCACGTGTTCGTACGTGAGTAGCAGCGTGGGTGCTTTCTTCGCCTGGGGTTACTTAAAGACGACCCTAGGTAGTGCTCAAAAAGTTTCAGCACTCATGCTGCTCTGGTTGCAGAGTTACGTCAAATTTCACGTGTCCGTATGTGAATGGCAAAGTGAGTGCTTTCTTTGTCTGCTGTTGGTCAAATACGGTCCCGGGTAACGCCCAGAAAGTTTCAGCACTCCAGCTGCTCTGGCTGCGAAGTTACGTTAAATTTCACGTACTTACACGTGTTTGTAAGTGAGATGCAGAACAGCTGAAAAGTAATTTACTTTCACGGATACAACAGTGAGCAACAAGTAACGCTGCAGAATTGTAGCTTATTGGTCACCTTAAATTTGGAGTTGGCGTGATGCCAGTTTCAATTTTGACGTGTGCGTATGTGAGTCCTGAGGGTGCATGAAGGCTGAATTTGAAATCTTTTGATTAGACGCGGCCAAGGAACAACTCAGTGAAGTCCTAGCCTCCTAGCATGGGCCGTTCCCGAAAACGCTTTCCCGCCAAAAAAACTTTCACGTGTCCCTACG